TTTCGAAAAACTCGAAAAGAGTTTCCATTTGATGCCCATAGGTGACAAATTTAAATATTCCTCGGGCTCGGACATTATTCGAATTACTCAAACGATGATGGGTAGGAAATTATAATAGGTTGCTAAGTTTTTCCAGAAGTACAAACGACACCTAAGATTTCTTGACAATGAACGCCTAAAATAGCAAGAAAACGTAGCCTTTAGTGGGCTTGATAATAATAATAAGTTCCTTATTAAGTCTCCCAATAACACCAAATTCATTTCAAATTTGAACTGAAAATTTGTATATTTAGTAAATAAAAACTTATTGGACAGTTTCTCCAGTGTTGCTAAACTGAAGAAAGTAATTAGTGGAAAAAAAACTTCAATGAAAAACTGGATTCCCGAAAATAAATAAAATATTCTAATGCTCATTCTTATTATTTATTAATTGTCAGGAGACATACGAAATATGTGCGGTTTCCATATCCGAACTCAACATACATATATACGAAAGACATAAATTTAAATAAATATGTTTTAATTGAAAATATAAATGCATACTAGGTGCAAACGGGGAATACTTATAAGAAAACTTGTCTACGAAATATTAAAGTATATAATATATTTGAAAATGCTGGAACGAACAGAGATAAATCAGAATTGGGTCATAATGGGCTCTATAGTAGAGATTATGTACTTGTATAACAAGCTTGATTTTCCACCCAATAGTATATAGTTTTTATACGCAGAGGAAGTGGGACAGGCGGATTTTTGTATACCGACCCATGTTATAATACTGATCAAGAACATGTACTATATACTTTGCAGGGTTAGCCAAGTCTGCTTCTTACCACTGCAAATATTTGATCGTAATTTAAAAAATGCTATTTAAACTTTTAAAACTTTTCATTATCATTACCGATCATACCTTTCTTATTGTTCAGAGCATATCCCTTTCACTTGCCATAGGTAAGTACAATATATCTACTATTCGGCTAATGTTTGTTTTTTCAAAAACTTTCCTTGTATTCATTCCACTGTAAATGTAATGTTTGGTGCGCCGGCGCGACGCGACGCGTGCTCCGCATGTGACCCCAGAGGCCGCCTCGATGTAAAATAGTGTAGTGTAGTGTACGAGCAGTTTACTTTGGTGTAGTGTATAGTGTCAGTGTCTTGATGACATCGACATGCTTATCTGATTTGCGCTCGATACAAGATTTTGCTTACATAGACAGACCCAGAGTGTGTGTTTTTTGTTGTTGTTTCGATTTTTATCTGCTGTAAGGGGCACAACATATTTCACAGAATTTCTTTTTGTTGGGTTCGGGTGCAGCCTTTCAAATAAAGCCGCGCTATGCTCATAAAATTAAACACATTATTGGTACTATTATTATTGATACATCAGATAATTGTTTCTTTACTGCAATTTTTTGTTATTTGATGCACATTTAGGTGCTTTAAATGGGCTATTTAGAAATTGGAATGCTTAAACGAATCTATACTTCTGGTAATTGATTGAAAAATCCAAATGGGGTCGATTTCAAAGTACAGATGTGTATCAATTGTTGGGTATTTATTTCCTTACTTCTAGCGTAAAATAACAAACAAATTGAATTTAATTGAATATGATTGACGTGCGCTCGTGTTGCCGATTAGACGCGATTTGTTAAACATTATTATCTTCGAGGGCCTTCTGCTATGGCTATGGCGTCATTTTGTAAATTGAAATTTGATTTAAGTTGTGCGATTAGCGCGCTTGACCAACAACCACAACAACAACATCATTGTACGAACATTGTAGGCTACAACAACAGCAGGTTTGCTGGTTTGGGCTAAGACCAGAGCTAATCAAAGTCAACTCGCTCTCGAGTAATTTTTATCGCTGCACGTAATCGTGACATATTTATGCTTTTAATTAAGAAAACTAGTCGTTGCAGTCATAGGCAGCAGCTAACACGCCCACTTCCTGTGGCGCAGCAACCGTTAGCGCAGGTTTTTGTTGAATTTCAAATATTTGCCACATTTTTTGGTGCCTCTATGGCCAGGTTCACACGGGAAACCACGAGATTTGGTCGAGCAATTAAACACATTTGAAAGAAACGAAGATAAGTTTTCTTCAAACATTTATTCCTCAATTCGGGGGTGGTATTTTTTTCAGTTCTAAGAGCAAATATTAGTACAGTTTGATGATTCTGAGCAACAGAAGTGGGAAGGCCATTTGCGACTATCGAAATGGGTTAGCCTTTAAATAATTGTTGCAGTTCAAATAAATGGAGTTGGTCCAAGAAAGAACACGATGATAGTACAACCATTAAAAGAATCAAGATTGTTCTACTTAAAAAGATAGAAAATTGTGACAAAATCACGATCAGCTAGATATTTGTATACCAGGTGCAACAAGTGAGAATGTTAAGCCCGACAGAAAATACTCCATAAGGATATAGAAGAAGTATAGCGATCCCAATTTTTTTTCGAACTAACCGATTTGAATGAAATTTAAATCAAAGGTAGAGATTGCACATACAGCTAATTCTGTTTTCACACGTTCTTTTTTTACACGATTTATATCAAAGTCGTTTGAAAATCAAAAATTGCATATGTCTTTTTTTACACGGTTGTTTCTGGAACCAATCTACCGTGTAAAAACAGAATTAGGTGTAAGTTATATAAGGTTTGGATTTCTGCACAGTACTGACAAATGAGCCAGCAGTGGGGAAATAACAGGGACTTACAATATTGTCGTATTGCTAGACCAGAGGAGTCTGCATACAAAGTTTGGTCAATGTGGTCTCATTCGTTTACTAATGCAAATGCTCATCCAGCCAGATGGACAAACGGACATATCTAGATCGATTTGTCTCGCCTTGCTGATTAACATATGTACTTTTCAAGGTAAAAAATCTACTCTCTCCATTTCTATAGATATTCCAATATATCCAATTAAAGTCAAAATTGCATTCCATTTTGAATAATTATATATCAAATATAATGTCGCCAACTATTATTTAATTAAAATAATTCTCTTCACTCTTAGTATTCTTTTATTTTTTTCTTTTTTGCTATAATTTGACGATGCGTGTATTGCCAATAAGAAATTTGTTCCAGTACCGATACAAATATTATGATTTCTCTCATAGATAGAAAATTGCTTTGTAAATCAAATAAACTTTTTAATTCAGGAGCCTTCAAAAAATATATTCCCTTAAGTTTCTTCTGTTATTCTATTGTAATAGGAATAAAAAGTTGTGTTTATTTCCTTTCACAATTTACAATTTATGTTTGGCGAAACGTTTTGGAATTCAAGGTATTTAAGACATACAATATGCGTTTTGTTCAAAAACAGTTTGCGTATAAGTCGTTTAAAGAATTTATAATTGCATCGTTTTGGCTGAAAAAATACATTTTCTCGACGTTTCACAATTAATCCTAATTGTGTAAAATTTCTGTGGCTGTGTGAACTTGCCCCAAGTTGGTCAAACTATGTGGTTGAGATACTAATTTCATTAGCTTGCCCAGCTATTAGTTACAAGCAATTTTCTGTCAACTTTTTATCAGTATTAACAGCAACAAGTTGTGCATGCTGGCATCTCTAAAATGACTTTATTCGGCTGAAGTTTTTAATAGGAATCGCAAGTATGGTTCTTGGGAATAAATCAGCGGTGGCTGCGGCAGTGGCAGGGACAGTGGAAGTGGATGTGGCGGTAGCAGCAGTAGGAGAAGCAGCCAACAACTTAATTAAGGCATTGAGTATCTCTCTGTGTCAATGCATACGAGTATGAAAGAGCCAGGGGGAAGGAAGGGGCGAGGCATGAAACAATTTGTATGCGGGTATCACACAGCAACAAGTCATTTCACACTTTGATCACGCTGCCAGGACCTGTGAATGTGGCCATGGATTGTGCCTTTGTGCATCTTTGTGATGATTGCCATAAAAGGATGGCCAGCACTTTGGAATGCGCAGCCAGACCATTGCAGCAGCCTGTTGCATATATTAAAACAAAAGTCCAGCGCATTCACTTGCCATGTTGCAGGACAGTTAAGGACAGACTGCAGCGAGCGGGTTGCCTGCTACACCCGCACCTAGCGTCCTCCACACAGTATAGTAATTAACTTGTTTCAATAATTACGCATGCGCACATTTGCACATGTTCCACAAACTGAGTGGCACTCGTTGTTGCTGTTGTTGCCGTTGCTTGCAGTTTCTGCAGCAACAAGATTTTTGCATTGCGTGCCCAACATGCTGCAAGCCTTGCAATGCGGCAGTCTGCATTTTTTGTGTGAAAATTTATGCAGCAGCCGCGACTTATTAAGACCGAGCTGCCTCCTCTGACTGTGTCTGTCGCTGCGAAGGTGGCTGCGGCACTTAATTATTGATAGCATTACAAACCCGGTTCAGTAGGTCAACGCATGTCATCCGCATTCAAATAACAAGTTTGGCAGCTGCAACTAAATTAACCGATCCCCGTTCTGTTCTCGATGCGTTTTTTTTTTACCATAACGCATTGTGAACTGTTGACCGTTAACGAAAAATATGTTGAGCCGAGTGTTGAATTAGAGACGCAGACTCCAGACATCCAAATAATTATTACTTCATTATGTTGGTAGAGGTTCAGCTTGGACTGTGAAATAGAAAACCTTGGAGGTATAAAGAAATGGGAATTGGTCGAAATTTCTTGCTAAGCCAATGCAATCAGGTGCATACTCATATATAATCATTTGAAAACTAAGAACTAGGAACACCCAAGCAAGTCACATAATTGTATACTTGTGCAAAAATAGTTCGTTTTTTATATTTTTTTTATTCCTTTTTACTCTACTTGGGAGCTTAGGACTTCTACAATAACTTTCCATCTAACTCTAGTATTTCTGGCCGTCTATCTGGCTGTGTCCCATGATATGTTCTTCTGGAATTCATTTTTTAATAGAGTTTTGTAAAATGTCTCATAATATTCATTTCACTTTAATTATTTGCACAAAGTCCTTTCTCCTTTGCAGTTGATTAAAAGATAAGTCAATAATTTATGTTCATCACCCGCACCAAACAATGCTCTTATTAAATAAATTGTTTACATATTATTAAAACGACAGCAACTTTTGATTAAATAGAGTGTAAGAGGGAGAGAGTATGTTGAGTGTCTCTTCTATCGGCAACTAAACCAGCATTTCGCCATCAATGTCGTGCACCTCGACATTTTCCATGCCGGGCATGCTCTTGACCACCTCATTCATATCTGGTTTGGGCGGTGCTCCACCACCCAGGCCACCACCTATAGCTCCCATTGCGCCCAATGCATCCAGGCCATCCATGTCACCCATGTCCATTCCGCCCATGCCTCCCAATGCATTTGCCATGCCAGCCATGGCATCGCTTTCATCGCCCATGCCCGCAAGTTTGGCCAACAGAGCCTTGCTGCGGACCTCGGTGATGACTACCTCGGTGGTGCTGAGCAGCGAAGCTACTCCAGCTGCATCTGATATGGCTGTACGGACAACTTTTGTGGGATCGATGATGCCCTTCTGAATAAGCTGTCCGTATTCATTGCGCATGGCATCGTAGCCGAAGTCGCCGACATGGCTCATCACCTTGGCCACCACCATGGCGGCATCGACGCCAGCATTCGAGGCAATTGTCATGCAAGGCATACGCAGAGCATTGCACACAATGTCGATGCCTAGTTGAAGATCGCCATTGCTCACCTCCATCTCCTCCAGTTTGGGAATGCAGCGCAAAAAGGCAGTGCCACCCCCAGGCACAATGCCCTCTTCAATGGCCGCGCGAGTTGCATTGAGCGCATCGGTTAGACGATCTCGTTTCTCGCTCACCTCCACCTCACTGGTTCCCCCCATGTGGATCACGGCAACACCCTTGGTGAGGCGGGAGAGACGCTCGCGTATGAGTTCCTTTTTAGAGGCAGATACGGTCTCATCTTCCATTTCATCTTTCAGTTCCTGCACTCGACGATTGAGCACGTCCGGCTTGGCTCTGCCATTGAGCAATATGGTGCTATCCTTGGTAATGATGGCCTCTCCGACTTCGCCGAAGTCATCCACTTTAGCCTTCTCGATTTTGGAAAAGTTGATATCGTCGCCGAAGACTGTGGCACCTGTAGCGGCAGCAATATCTCCCAAAACCGCCTTGCGTTGCTCCCCGAAATTTGGCGCCTTAATAGCACAGACCTGAAGTCCCAGTCTAAGGCGGTTCATGACCAGGCCGTTGAGGGCCTCGCCACTAACATCCTCTGCGATGAGCACCAATGGCTTTCGGTGGCGCAGCGACATCTCGAGAGCGCCAACAATCTTCGCCAGCGATGTGATCTTCTGCATGGTTATAAGCACATAAGCATTCGCATACTCCACCTTGTTGCCCTTTGGCGTATTCACGAAGAAGGGCGAGATGTAGCCGTTCTTAAACTGTAGACCCTGTATGACTTCCAGCTCGTCTTTAAGGCGCTTGCCCTCCTTCACAGTGATGGTGCCCTTGCGTCCCACACACTCGGTGGCTTCTGCTATCAGTTTTCCAATCTCAGTATCACCATTCGCGGATATGGTTGCAACCTGTTCGATTTCCTTACGCGAGTGCACGGGAGTCGCCATTTCCTTTAGCGATTTCTGCACCGTTTCTACGGCCATCATGACTCCCCGGCGTATTTCTACGGGATTTGCGCCACGGGTTATTTGACTGAACCCCTCCTTGGCGATGGAACGGGCCAACACTGTGGCCGTGGTTGTCCCATCACCAGCACTCTCATTGGTATTATTGGCCACGTCCTGCACTAGCTTGGCGCCAAGATTCATGTGACAATCCTTTAACGAAATGGCCCTCGCCACAGTCACACCATCCTTAGTGATCTTCGGCGATGTCCAGCTACGTTCCAGTATCACACTGCGTCCCTTTGGTCCCATGGTTACAGCCACGGCGTCTGCCAGGATATCCACGCCACGTATCATCAGGGCACGTACCTCCGGACCGAATCGAACATCTTTGGAGTAGTGACGTAGAAAAACGCGATTGGCATGGATGGAATTGCGGACACACGAGCGAAACATAGTAAAACGTATATTTAATGAAAAGCGAATATTTAATTTTAGTTACAAACTTTTAAACTAGCTTTTTTACTCTCCCCCGATTTGTTCGCAATGAATTTCAAAGAAATTATGACTTTGGCATGCATACATGAGCTTCAATTCAAAGCCAGCTTCTCTTGAGACATATACAAACTACGAAATTTTTAACAAGGCACTTAAATCTTTAGCTAGATGAGGTAATCAAATTTTAAACATACCTAGAGTATTGGATAGGTCGCACGGGTACGGTGAAAAATACATTGAATATTGAACCCACTGCCAATTGACGATTTTCTAGAGTTCATGGTAGAACGGAATGTCAATGTTTCTCAATTGTCAATTCTAATCAATCAGAACATCGTATTAATACTTTTGACTGTAGAGTATTTTGTAAGAGACATTTTTTTCCATTCACCTGCTACTGGTTGTACGTCTGGAAGGTACTTTTAGTGATGTATCTAGCTGAATGGGAGGCTAAGTCATAATTAAATCAAAACAAGAGCAAATCTGTATAATTACCTAGAATTATGGTTACCCAAGTAACGAATGAGATGATGGTTGTTCATATCAGAGAGAAGAAAACTTCCTCTCTTTTAGACTTCTTCAGTCATCACCTTTTCTGTTACTAGTTTATACTTCGAAAGAACAATCAACCGCACTTTGGGAGCTGTGTTCCTGCAGGATATCTCTTTGGAGAAACGCTCAACATAGTGAAGGTACTCCTACTTAGCTTAAGAGCACATACTCGTTGAGTGACGTGGAAATAGCAATGGACTCTGCGTGACTTGGCTTTTCTAATCTTACTACTACAGCAAAGAGAAAAGGGTCAAGCGTGCAAGTATTAATATAAATTATTTGGCTACTGTAGCGTTATGATTTAAGAAATTACATAAAAGTTCGCCTGTACTGACGTGTGAATTGCATAATTTTTAGTAGCGGTCCCATGACGCTACGCACTTTTCCAATTAATTTCATTTCCGTTTGGTATATGCCCGCCGCAACATATGTTTCAATCTTCAAAAGGTAGCGAAAACATAGAATCAATAATTAAGAAATGTCAAACATAAAGGCAAAGGCATTGCGGCTCGATGTACTTTGATAAGGAATAAGGCATGGAGTCGCAGTTTCTGGCATTTTTAGTGTTCGCGTGACAAATCATAATTGATTGTTCGCTTAATTGAATTGGAGGCTGATAAGCGCGAGCAGAGTTGCCATCGGCAATGCCATCATCAGCGGCAGCGTCACCTAAGCGCAAATAAGATTAGGCTGATAAGAATTCAAAGTATTTTTTATTGATCCAACTGACGCATGTCCCCCCATCCCCTGAAGGCCCGACAATCAAACAGATACCATGAGTCATGTAGGGACCCACCAGACGTCACGAGACGCTGTTCGAACACACTAATAAATTGTTAATGGTTTTATCACAGCTTTGAGTTTATGATATCGTGCTCGCCTAATACGCACAACAACAGCAACAAGAAAACCCATAAAACTAACGACACAAACCAAAACACATGCTCCGAGGCACAGATAAGCGTAGATAGTTGCCTTCATAGTTGTATTAGTCACCGTCTCAGCCAAGTTGTCGTCGCTGGCGAGAATTTCCTTTTGTGTGGAGACTGTTGATTGCTTGTACGCCTCCATAAGGATATCCCGGGACAGTAGCGACTCTGTCAGCGACCAAATCAACTTATCAACGGTGACAAGCAGCAGCCTTTAGCCACATTATGGTGCTCGGGCCAAAACAGCAGTTGGATCTCACTTAGCAGCACCAATTGACGCGTGATTGTCATGCTGACTGACATCCCACCATCCATCCATCCATCGATCTATTTCTTCACGGAGCAACCTTTTCAGCAGCCGTCCATTCAGTCAACATACACTCGACATATGCAGCCAAAGATAGACAGACTCCATGGTCCAACTGCGAAACGGGTTGTGCATGGCTCGCATTTCCATCGAAGATAGTAAGATCGATGAGCATTACAGGCGTCCGGATTCAGTACAACCTGTGCAGAAGATACTTTTTCATGTTTTAAATGAGCTGTTGTGTTTCTATCAATTGTGCTTATATAAATGTGTAGGTGAAAGATATAAAAGAAAGCTTCTATAATTTAGTTCAGTGAAGCCAAAAGCGTTATTATCGCAAAAATTAAAAAACCAAACTGCCTTCTTAAGCTGCATTTTGGAGACAAGTATATCAGGAACGTGGTCTGTATCGATCTATAAACAGTTCACAATATTTTAAATAATATTTAAATTCTTCTTATTTTCGGTTTTTAATAACATATTGATTTATATAGGTATTTGTAAAAATCAATAGAACTCTAAATAAGATGGGATTTTGTTGATTTGTTTTGAATTGTTGCTGATTGTTACTTAGAAGAAGCGAACATTTTGATATTCATTGTGAAAGTTGTTGCTCCGCCAATACAGGGTGCGCCATCTTTTATGTCGGTATGTAGATATTGAATAACTTTGTCATTAGGGAACCGATTGACTTGAGTATACCAGTGTTGAAAACCTCAGTTCAAGAAATTGTACAGAACCAAATTGAATAAAAATATCTTATACTTGCAAATCGGTTGTTTATTTTCAAGGATATTCAATGTTTGCATGCCGACATAAAAGATGGTGCACCCTGTATAAGATATGTATGTTTTCTAGAAGCTTTGTATTTCTTAATAGGCGGCTGAGTTTCAAAAATGTTAGGGACGCCTTTTAAAAGTAGACGGATTCTACTTATATAAATATGTCCGCACCACAGCTGTCAAGGGCGTAGCCAGCTTTTACCAAAGGGGGGGCCAAAAAATTAAAATTTTGATTAAATAATGCCCGATGCATTTAAAAAATAATTTATGCATATGGTCGATGAAAAAAACTTCAACAAATCCAACGCAGATCCATCTTAAGGCGAAATAGTGCGTCATAATAATGAACGTGTGGTCGACTTTATATAGAAAATTTTTTTCTAGTACGCCCTTGACAGCTGTTATTACAATACAATATCAGATCCATAACTATTTATCCTTCACTGTGTGTTGTAGGAAAAATGTCCTAAATTTGCAATGCACATTACCTTTTATTGGTGTGATTATTTATTACAATATATTTTTATTTAGTGGTGCTTAAAGGCATCTATAAATAAATGTAAATTCAAAAACTAAACAAAATATATAACATTTTTAACAAAATACATGTTTTTAGAAAGTATACGATAATGAGATGATTAGTGTTTGCTATGTAATTTTTCGTAACTAAATTCTCAATCAAGACTCAATCAAATTTTCCCTAGTCGTTCTTGTTATTAGACCTTGTTATTATAGCCATTTGTTTTATTTTCATGTTGTATTGTGTCCACACAACTAGAATGAATTACAAATGAATACGATTATATCAAATGGCGAAAAAGAGCTGCGGTTATGAACCAGAAACCGTCGGCTCGCCCAACGCGTCGCTCTAGTAATCATCAGAAATCTGTGCTGGCGTAAAAACAAACTTTTATACAGTTTAAAAGGCCCTTATTAGATTTTAGCAAAAACCAACTAGTACACCACTTTTAATGTTTGCCTTTCTAGTCAATCCGAATCGCAGCGACGACACCTGTGCCTATATACACACGCACACATTCACACTTTTCTGTACGAGTATGTAAACGGTAGATGGTAAGTGTAATGGAGGGAGCATTCTTTGGCTCTCTTTCTCTCGCGCTCCGGCACTTACAAACGACGCCGCCCCATTCAACGGCCAACCAATCGGAGGCCGGAGCACGACTTCAATATGAGGCTCACGCACACACAGGCCCACTGAAGACACACAGACACACACACATGCAGTTGAGTGTGACGTTGGTGTTGTCGTCGACAGGCAATTTACATGAAATCAAAATGAATCGAATAAAGCGGAAGCAACGTTGGGCGTCTCCGACACACCTATGACCTGCAAAAGCTCTCAAACCAAAGCTGGGACTCTTGAGAATGAATGCAGAAGGGCAAACGATGGGCAATAAGTGAATGGTAAAGAAAACGCGAAATATGAGGTTGTTGTTATTGTAAACAATTTATGTGAAATTCCCCACATTAAAGGCGGTTTCAGTTGGCGAAAATTACTATGTTAGGGTTTGGCTATTCAGAGGGTTCCGGCTGATATAAATATTATTCTGTATCATATTATACTTTTTGTTGTTTTTATTTTCTTAAATATATTCGTTCATTCAAAATATACAAATCATTAATTAGTCAATAAGGAGATGGAAGTGGAAAACAAAGGGTACTCTAAAATAAACAAAGAACTGAATATAAATAGGTGAATAAAATAAATTTGAAAAAAATTTCTTTCGCTTAAATTTCAAGTAATTTACTCCAGATTTCGGTCTTGATAAAGGACCTCAAAATTGGTTACATCGAATAGTTTTTTTCGAAACTATTTAAGCTGGGGTAAACTATTTTGAAATTGTAAAAAAAACTTCTGATAGAATAAAGAAAATATTCTAAGCTAGATGTTATAGATATTATAGAATTCGATTTATTACACAATTGATTCATTTAGAACCTAATTTTATTAAGTTTGTAAAAATCATGTACTATATTCAGGGCTTTTAATAAACCAATCACTGAATACTTTATTATTTACTTTTTTATTTTAAATAGTGATGTAACACATACTTATAATATAATTTAAAATAATTCAGTTATCCTTTTTAAATAATATTAATAGCTAAATCGCTTGAAATTGTTTTCAGTATAGTTTATTCAAAAACAAGAAAGGAATGCTAAAGTCGAGCAGGCACAACTCTTAAATACCCTGTACCACCCCACAAAAAAATAAATTTATTTAATTTAAGTAATTAATTAATTAAATTAATTTAATTAACTTTATTTAATTAATTAACTAAATTAAATATAAAATATTCCATACATGCATACATACATTTACATTTACATCAGAATCGTTTCTATGAGTGTTTGTGTACTTGTACATATGTATGTATGTGTGCATTGGGCGTGGTTATATGGCTATAACTTTC